ATCACCATCACTGGTGCTAGCACCTTGCCCTCTGATGAGGTATGACTTAGAAACTACTTGGACCTAAATTGCTTTAGTTGAGTTTCAGTGGCCACAAGTCACARGGCAGTAATGTCMAAATTCTATTGGATTCAAGAGCTCATGCTCATTTCAGTGCAGTAGTTTTTCGGTAGGAAAAATGCATATTGATGAGAAGTTGCTTGTTTTGAACTAGAGTTTCTAGTTTATTGTATAATTTCTCCATCTGCGCAGCAGTAACTTTTGCATTGGGGGTAAGGAGAAGTAACTGATCTCCGTGCCCCAATGATAGCTGGGTGCCCATTCACATGCAAGAGGTTGGGCTGATGGCCCAAAATTTGATGCAACCAGATGTTCTTTAGCTATGTCCAGGCTTTCCCTTATTTCTATTCCTGCATGTGTCTATGGGGATGTATCCTTTTTGGAAGTTGGTTTCACATGTTATAGCTTGTATTTAGATGGCTTCACCACTGTTAGGACTAGTTTAAGCATGCCACCAATACATGCCTGCTATGTTCTGATGTTTTATTGCTAAAAACTTGCAGGTGGAAAGAATGGTGAAGGAAGCAGAGAGGTTTGCTAAGGAGGACAAGGAGAAGAGGGATGCCATAGACACAAAGAACCAGGCAGATTCAGTTGTATACCAGACAGAGAAGCAACTGAAGGAACTTGGAGACAAGGTTCCTGCTGCTGTGAAGGAGAAGGTAGAAAGCAAGCTTGGAGAACTGAAGGAAGCAATYTCTGGTGGGTCAACCCAGGCGATKAAAGATGCTATGGCTGCGCTCAACCAAGAAGTAATGCAGCTTGGGCAGTCCCTATACAACCAACCTGGGTCACCTGGTGCTGGGCCTGCACCTGGTGGGGAGGCCGGGCCTTCTTCAGGATCAGCTGGCAAGACACCTGATGGTGATGTGATTGATGCGGATTTCACTGATAGCAGTTAGATAATGAGAAGAAGAGGTTGATAATTCATAATTGATGGTCGCACTTTAGCACGCTATGGGTTTTTGTTCTTTCCCATTAGGGTGTATATATGATTTTGAAAGTATGGATTGATATCGGGATGATTTCCTTTTTGTGTATTTATTTACGACTCCCCGATTTTGGAAAAGAGGTGAAGGGTTGGATAGAAAGAATTAGTGGTGTTCATTGTTCAGCTACGAGAAATTAGACCCCATTACTTTTGGACTTCCATCATTTATCAGTTGCATGGAGTCGTGCCCGAGTGTTGCCTGATTTTTACACCTCTGGGTTGATCATCTAATTTTTATAACCAAAATAGTTGTGCCATGTCGCATGTGTAACCACTGTAACTGTCTTAGAGTCTGTTTTGTAACAGCCTAATGGTTGGTGAGGTAGTTCCATTACCTAATAATCAAACAACTTTTAAGTTCCATCTACTAATCAGATTCCTGGTGGATGTATTGTCTTCGAGAAAGTATGAGTGAACCACCTTTCAAAGTTCAAAATCGTTCAGTTTGAATTGGACTTTTGTTGACAGACCAAGTTCCCGTTTGGGAAAGCCAAAGGCCGATGACGGTGTACATGGCCAGCTTTTTAAACTGCATTTGATCCATATAGCCCAAATATGCTGTCAGTCATTTGAATTGAAGGGCTGTTGAACCAGATTCAGTGTTGGTTAATAATGTGTTTTCTTCGAAGAGCATAAGGTGATAATCAATGATGTAAAGATTGTTTACAAAGTAAAACAAATGTATTCGCATTTTTGCATGCTTAAGATGAAAGAGTCCTTTACCAAAAAAAAAAAGAAAATGAAAGACAGAAAGAGTCTGATCTTTCACTGCTTTACCTTGGAATGATGTTTGTCCTATATATTTATTGCGAATGGACTCTGGCTGGTCCGCATACTTCGTGAAAAATTCAGTACGAATATAACTATAGGTGTAATGTGGGCCGTGCCGGGGCTATGCGGCAAGTCAAGCTGTGCATCATGCCGGGCCGTGCTGGCCCGTTTTACACCTATAAATGGAACAACTCTTGTCTCTTAATGCTGAGTAACATTTAGAAAAGACCAGTGATCAGTGAAAGCTTCTCATACTTTGTAGCGTGGCCAGCAAATCAAATTGTATGTAGATAGAAAAGAATGATGAGGAATGGTAGGGATTGTAGTGAAGTTGAAAAAGCAAGACTGAAGTAGCAGTACAATACTGAGACCCTCCAATAAAAGAGTTCGGATAATACATTGTTGGTCATGTTCATCCAGCTGCACCACAATAAAATGTAAACATCCCAGCACTTACAATAAATTGAAGGCATCGCATAAACTTTTTATTTATTAATTTCAAATGCTGACGCATTCATATTTCATAATTGGGAGTTGCATGCAATATGGTCACAAGAAATTTTTTTTTTTTCCAATTCAACCTGCATTTAAACAAGTCTGCATTAGCTGCATTTGATGGATGTGGTAAGGTCTGTACAACCAATAATAACGCCCCATGTCAGCCATTAAGTGGATATGCCCCACCACCACTCAATCTCTCACTTGGCATGTATGACTGATGTAGAGTGGGGCACTATTGTTGGTTTCACAGCCCCTAGTACAGCTAACAAGTTCAGCTAATCAGGGCTCGATTTTAAATGCGGTGAGAGTGATCGATTAACAGGGAAAGATTCCATTCATGCTTGTAGAAAGATGTATTGTCATTGTTTACGTATGTATGTATATATTAAATTTGTTGTCAATTCTAAAAATAAAGGTTCCATGTGCCCTTGATTGAAAAGAACATTGATTCTTAAAACAAAAATACCAGATAACCGATTTTGATTTTGTGGTGTATTGCTTGTAATTTAAAACCAAAAATATATCCATGAACTTTTTGTTTCGAAAACATGATTTTACTCTTTTTGTTTGGTATTACATTTAACAAACCATAAAATATTCAAAGAAAGATTCTGATTGAATGGATATCTAGTTGATTTTTTAATTTGATTTAATTTTCGTTTTTATTTTACTTTACCCAAATCAATTAATTTGAATGTGGGTTAGCATGATTCGTACAAGCTTTATACCAGAACTGGAGAATGTATAGGAGACAGTGGTGTGTGTACCATATATACATTAGTTAGCAGCCCATATCATCTTTATGGAAGTGAAAGCATGTTTTTGTTTTCAAAAACTTTTTTGTTTTACCAATAATGTTATTTTTCTTACTTAAAACTATTTTTTTCACTTTGTTTTCCGAAATTTTGTATTCAAAAACATGCATTTTTTTTCTTAAAATTTTAAAAAGAATAAAAGCATAAAACTTCATGGATATGGACAATATCATCAATGAGATATGCTTTTGCCATCCTTTTTTGCTTACCTTTTGCTGATAGTCGTTTACCAAATTAAAAAAAAAAAAAACTTCTGATAGCTCACTCTAAAAGTTAAAACAGACAAGAAAAATGAGTTTTCACTTTTCAGATTGTGAAAATTAGGGGTGTCAATGGTATTTGAAATCCAATTTCGAATTCAATATTCGACATAATTGAATTGAATTCGAATAATTCGAATATCTAATTGGTCAAATTTGGATATCCTATTCTTATCAAATAGTTAATCGGATTCAAATTCGGATATGCCCTAATTCAATTCAATAAATATCTGAATTCGATCGATTATTCAATTCTTATATATAATATATAATATATAATATTTTATATAATTTATATAGTAATTAAGTTATATAAATAGTTTATATATTTATATACTTTATATCAATAAATATTTATTTATATATTTATCAATCATCTAAAATAATTAATTAATCGAATTCGAATCAAATCGAATATTCGAATATTTAATCAGATTCAAATTCAGATATTAATTTTCATTATCCGTCGGATATCGAATCGAATTTAGATATTGGATTTTCTAATCGGATTCGAATTTGGATATTACTTTATCCGATTCGAATTTGATCCGTTTACACCCCTAGTGAAAATAGTTAGTGAAGATGCATTACATGGAACTCATTTTGTTGAGAAAATGACCAATTAGCAAACGCCACTTAATGTTGGGTTGTTTACAGAATTACAGGCCGTGGGGTTTGTTTTTTGTCCTATTTGAAGGCTTTTAGGCTACAACCTCCACTATTCAGATACATGGCTTTTTCAAATTTAGATACATTGCATTTTCTGAGAAGTTGCTGCTAAAGTTCACAACCCATTACCACCGTTTAGATAAGTGGCCTTATTATTTTCTAGAAAGCTAAATACATGGGAATTTATGAGACGTTCCCGCTAAAGTTCATAACCCACTACTAGGCTACAGTGCTCCACCATTCAAATACATGGCCGTCTCATTTTTCTGAAAAGCTAGACATGTGGCATTTTCTGAGGAGTTGCTATTAAAACCCACAACCACTACCACCATTTTCAATCCATTCCTAAAAAATGCAATGGTTATCCACAACCACTTCTGCCTATATTCTATCAATCTCAGTTAATCATTAACCTTCTACATATCATAACAAAAGAAAAAATATCCATATTCTAATAATTATTGAAAAGCTATTTTTTGAAAATTTAATAATTATTTAAAATATTAATAAATATAAATTTGACATTATTGATTCTATAATGTAAATTTATTCATTCACTAGTTGATCCTTAAAACAAAATAATGCATATATATTCTTGGTTCTTTTGGCTTGATTTATTTGCATTGGTGCAAAAGTATGGGAGTGCAAATTCTAATTTTTATTTTTATTTTAACATTTACCATATTTTGGTTGTTTGCATTGCAGATGAAATAAAGTAAAACCTTGACGCGAGATAAAGAAATACCCAAAGCAAAGGTTAACCATAATTTGCATTCTTATCACTTGAACTCTCATACGTTTATACTTTGATCCATGTCCATTTAGTTGTGTGGGTAAGTCTAATTTATAAGAGGTTTAGTAAGATTTACAAAAGAACTTCAATGTATGGCTTCTTTTGCATTTCATTAAGTCATTTACGTGGGCAAATGCATTTACCCAGGCAAGTGTTTTAGGCTGTGTTTGCTTGTAATACAAACAAATTTGTACTGATTCAAAACTATGGCAGTGCAAATGATTTGAGTGTAAACTCTGACCTATTTTTCTTTCAAATTTTAGCTTATTTTGTTTGATAGCAGTACAAATAAAGTAAATTAAGACATGAATCTGATTAAAGTAAAACCCAAAACAAAGTTAAACCAGAATTTGCATTTTTTACTCTCATGCATTTGTACTGGTGCAAATAAAATTGTACTACAACCAAACACAACCTTTATGGCCTTGTGGGAAAAACACTTACCCGAATAAATGCACTTATCAATATTCTTTGATTCCACAAGTAAACTTATACAATGACCATTTTATCCAAAAAAGTGACATAAATGAAGAAACAATATTGTCCCATCACATATTAGCAATTTTTGGCATGGATGGGTACCCAATTCTCGTGAGGGTATTTTTGCCCCAAATGAGTCGCCTGGGAATCATCCTTTTTAGTAGGATCCATTAATACCAAAATATGAACACAATTTATTTTTTGTAGGACCCACCAACTTACTTGCCCCAACTTCTTGGATCAAGCAAGCCAAGCATCTTTTTGTTGTTTTTTTTTAACTTTTATTTTGTAAATTTTTGTTGGTTTCAAAGATGATAGAATTTTCTGAACCAAGCTCAAAATATTTAAACCTTATTTTATAAACTTTATTTTATGAAATATATTTTCTTAACTAACAAAATGTTTTCATTTTATTGCTGATGTGGCATATTTTAAAAACAAGAAAGCAAAAACATCTCAGTGTTGAATAAAATGCCCCATCAGTAAACATATGGTAAAGAAAAATAGTATACTAATAAAATAATTTATAACTAGAAAAAGAGTTTCTGTTCATAATGTTTATTAGTTAATAATAATTAAAAGAAATACAATAATAGAACATAAGTAGCACTTGATTGATCCTACTAGCTGTTTTGGGTAAAATTGGGCCCAAGATCTCCTAGTGGATTTATGAACTAAATCACATTAAAACAGGGTCTGATATATATATATATATATATAAAACTTGCCATTCAGAGGTTGGATCTCATTTGTGTTAATGGAAGGAGGCTCTAAAAATTAAAAAATAAAATAAAATAAAAGCAAATTTCCCATTTCCAGAACTTTTTTGAGATATTTTTGAATTCTAACCTAGAGAAAAAAAATCATTCAACTTCAAATTTGGTTGCATCTTCCAATAAATAAGTGATCATTTTGTTGGAAG